TATATATATATATATATATATATATATGGAATTGCATATTTTTGATACTTGTACAGTTGCTCATTAGTTGCATTAATATAATACAATCTATGAGTCATGCAATTCTTCCAGTCACCAGTCTCCTTACAGCAAAGTGTAGCCAATGCTTCTTTATAGAGGGATCTCTAACGGAAGAAATAGCAGTGATGATATAAGGAGCTCGTCTGTCACACAGATGATCATCTAACAAACTTGCGTTCCGATGCGCTCGCAAGGCTGCAATATCAAAATGATAAGAGACAGAGAGAGCTACTGCTACGGTTAAACTACTACTCCAGGATGTGTTTTATCTGCAACAGAGAATGATGCCGGTGTGTGATGATTCCTCGACAGAGGTGCAACATACGAGTGTGCGCACGGTGGGTCAAAATTACTGGATGGTCGTTTGTCGGCGGCCCGCTCGACTCCGACTCTGCGGGATCGGTGTTTATTCGTTGGTCACCGCTGTTTAGCTCGATAAACGCGCAAAGAAATCAATCTCTTAAAGACGATTTCATGACGCTATTGTCTTCTCCTCGAGCTTCATCAGTGATAACATACACTGGTTTTTTTTTTTTTTTTACTCACTACTGATTACGGAGCAGATCGGTATGTATCTGGGCTTCGCAGGTACCCTTGGCACATCCTTTCGACCTCTCTGTGATTTCTCCTCGTTGAGAAGACGTTTCACCTACGGTTATTTTACTTCAACAATAATCTTAAGGTTTATTTTTAACCAAACACTTTACTTTCTGACATTACCAACCTGTTCGTCAATTGCATTAAATTGCCATTTCCACGTATGATTATATAAGAAAGGTCGATGATCAAATCTGTTGTCGTCAGGACTGTAAGTCTCCGCGTGACAAGATGGCGTTAAGATAGTCATTTTATGTCGATTTATCGCGTAACACCTATAAAAATGTTTCACCTTATCCGCCACCTATGAAATGAATTCAAATTTAAAGACTACGTTGTCTACAACAACAGAAATTGAAGCTAATTGTTACTACATTTACTTCTTTTGAGCTACATTTATCCCACATGTGGACGAGTCTGCAGAACATAGTGAACGGACCAGCACAATCCTGCTTTCTTAAACGTCCGAAAGTACCAAGCTCTTTATATGTCATACCCATATCGACTTCATCAAGTTGAGCGAGCTGTCCTCCTTGAAGAGGTTCCAATTCTGCGGTGGCAGGAGCATCCAAGATTTTATCTAAAGCTGTTATTCCATGTTTCTTCCTAAAACAGATCTAATAATTGTTGGTACATCTGTTGAAGAACACAAAGATTATTATCTTAAAAAGATACCAGTTTAAATATTGACCTAAAGTAAGAAAGAAATAATTTTAAATCATTCTTTGCAATCCCACCGATAGGATTGATGTCGGCACTGCTGCAATCATATTTAGTGAAATATCCTCGAAGAGCTTCGTCAACATTACTGCTTCCTAGTACCAACAGACCACCCGGTCGTCCTCTGACCCACAGCATTAATTGTGCGAATAGATAAGCTATCACCATTCTCAATCGGGCCTTGAGAAATTTTAAATAATTAAAAACTTATTCATTTCTTACATATAAGAATATACCAACTTGTATATTTTGTAGAGCTAAATTTTCTCTAGGAGATCCTCCTTGCACTTTAAATCTCGGTGTCAATTTAGTAACTTGTTGGAAAATCGTTAGAATTGCAGACACAGCAACATCAATTACTATACTATGATGATAAGAGCCAATCTGGCTAGCGAGTTCAGCTGCTCGCGCCTTTGTTTCAGAGGATGAATTTTCAGTACCCATGTAGCACGTGACAAGAAGAGTATTGCACAACTGTTTTGGATCAGTTGGTACGTATTCGCAGTCTCCGACTATTTTTCTGATGTCAGACAATACCTGTGTGTCTAATTGGGAATACTTATTAAATACATTCTCTAATTGTCATAAAAATAGTAACACATACCTCCTTTGTTAACCGAATCCACGATCATGTCGCACATGGAATAAACCATACACGCTGAAGACGCAGAATCAACACCACCACTCAAAGGTAAAAAGAATCCACCTTGGCAAGAACGCCTTTTGCAGAAACGACAGCAAAGTTAAAACAATTAAATCAAACTAATAATCAACTTAGAATAAAATAGCAAACCTCAAATAATCCCACAGCCAACAAGCAGGGGCCATCGAAATTTCTTCGTCTGGTGTATGATATACAAGTTTTCCTGTCGTATTTTCGTTTTCATAAGGACCTAAATCCACATCAATCGGTCGGTCTGGAGGAGTTGAAATCAAATTATCTGAAGTCAGAGCAAAATCCACCTTCACACGCGGATAGCTTGGTTGTCTGGCAGCTACATGAGATCTTGATCTAATATTATTTCTATAACTCCTGCGGAAGAAGAAAACGATCAGACTGAATTCAATTCAATTGAACTTAAACGAATACTACGAACCTTATATCCTCCAGATCAAAGGTTGCTACAATGACCTCTACTTCATCCAGTGCAAACTGCTTACCACGATTTAAGATTTGACCATTCAAGGTAATAGACGATCCTCCATTAAAGTACAGTCTAGAACCATCACAGCCTCTTAAGTTACTGAACATGTAACAACCACCTGACTTGAATGTAGCCGACTTGACTAAGTCTACGGTGACGTATGCTTTCCGTAGTTCGAAGTACGAACCGCTACCTTCAAGAAAAAGATAAAATATATACAGTGGTGTTTGAAAGGATCCAACCAGATAAGTCTTTCACTTTATATTTAAAAAAAAAAGATACATGCATATGTATATAAACACATAAAAAAAAACAGTATAACAAATGGATGCTATTACATAATATTATTTAATATTAATATTAGAGATTATTTAATATTAATATAAAGAATTTAATATTAATTATTAAAAATTCTTTAATTTCACACCACTGAAATCTAAGAATTTTACACAATTAAAAATATTATTTTTGAGATATAAATTGTAAAATCCATCTGGCCGAAAATACTGTGTAAATAAATAAATATATATCACTTATATCAACTATATACTTTACCATTTGCAATAATTTCAACGCCATCCAAGCACATTGGAATATGATTGCTCATCGGGTTCCAGAGTTCTTCGCAAATTTCGAAACCCACACACGTGTCTCTGGTCGATATAACAGCATCGCCGAACGGCACCACCGTCTGACTGGTGATCTGAGATATCATTCTAGGCAGAAAGTAGTCCTCCACTGTGCGTTCCTGCATAAAAAGATTAACATTTATAGCAAGTCTAAGACCAGAAGATCGGCGACTATTCTGATTTCTCATGCATCGCGCGTGCAATTTGAAAGAATAACCTTGGTCCACGGCGAGAACCATCTGGATTCTCTATAATTGCCATCCTCGCACATCTGCATCTTGGGTCTGATGAGCAGAATTCGTCGATTCAGAAAAGCTACACGGCAATTGTACGTCACATTCTTGTGCATGACCGGCATACCAACGTCTATCAGCATATCCTCGGTTACAGGTGACTTGAGAATCGTCGCGAGTACTTCCCAACTGTGAAGTAACGTATCTGGCTCGTAGAAATGGTCTTCGCAACTGTAACCGCTATTTTGGGGAAAATAATAACTTTTAATTTCAATTTTTCACTTTTAACAAGCTTTTAACAAGCATATTTTTAATTACAACTAAAGAGATCGTATCTGAAAAAGAAAGAATATTTTTGTTTTTGATATTTTAGATGTATTTGCATATCACATATTGCATGTACTCTGTGCATTCTATAAATAGCTCACAGATGCATAAAAATTTACAAGCTGGTTATTACGTTATTTTTCTTTTCTTTAAAAAGGAAATTTTACCTAATTTCTAGCTCTGGACCGCTTCTATAAGTAGCACCAGCATCTTTAGCTTCTTGAATACTTTGCAAGATTCTCCTGGAATTTCCCTCAAAGTCCAATGCCCACTGATTCAACGAGCAAACAGCTACCGTCACTGTACGACCCATCTTTGAAGAATTTTTCCTTTCTTCGAGTCCTCGTCTTCAAAGAAATTAAAACTGAACAGAAACTATCTGTAAGAGAAATAGAAATGGACATTATTAGTAACAAGTTATTAAAAAATTGTAAGATGTTTGGCATATACAGAATGATAGCTAGTAAACAGGTATTTAGTGGATCCCGACCTATCAATTGAAAGCTCATTGATCGAGGGGGAAGAATGTTTGCCGACAAAATAGCAGCACATCCATCCTCCAGACAAACGTTGATTGATCAATAATTTTCAGAAGCGTGCAAGGAGAGGGATGTAAATTGCTTGGCTATTTCGTGCGACTTAAGCGGAAGAATGCCTGAGAAAACTCCGGAGACGCTGCCTGACGAATTCCTCAAAATTAACGCAACTTTCTTGGCAAATTGCCCTGTCACGATCAATCTCTGATGGAATGCAGATATATTTCAAAGATCCACACTTTGTAAACTTCGAAATATGGCAAGAATCCATCCAAATGTCCGGATATTCAATTATAAGGATTCAATTTTCAAATTTAAGAGGTTGAAATATCTCCCGGGCAATAGACAAGCAATAATGTATTTCATTTTCTACAAGTTTATTAACATTACGTAGAAAATATCAAATAGAAAACAAAAAAAAAAAAAAAAAAAAGAAACGTCAAATCTATTAAAATTCAACGACTAGGATAAAAAAAAAGATCGCATTTTTCATAAATTTCATCTTACAATGCCTCTTCTTATTAAGAAAGAAAGAACTTCTTAGAGAGATGTGAGAAGTTGAAATACTAGAAAAAATATTAAAAGCTAGATTTCGATCGCGAAGGGAACGCGGAGGTGCGTGCGAAAAAGATCGACAAAGAAACACAGCGGTTGAGGATGAGCCAGGGTCGATACGGATGTTCCATCGGAGCAGAGCGACGAACCTCGAGGAACGAGAAAGGGCTTCGAACAATCATCGAGCTACATACTAGCTCCGCCCCCGTTGTCAGGCAATCGACATGGCCATGTTTTACGAAGTTTCTCTTCCCTGGGGGGCAAAGTTCCTACTCGCAGTTCACGCGGTAGATTCGTTCGAGGAACACGTTGCTCGCTCGAAGCATCATTTAAAATCGCCAACTGTCGAGTGAACTTCGATGAGTTTTAAAAAAAAATGCATTTAAAGGCAAGTTTAAGGAGTGGTCGGGAGTTTCATTCGGCAGATGACGAGGGAAGTTTCACTTTCTGCCAATAATAACGAATAGAAAGGAATTAAAACATTTGAAGAAGATGAGCGCGATAACCAAATGTTTATCGGATGAAAGAATCCTGTGGATCGTTGACTACGCTTCGAGGCAAAGTAAGTTTGAGAGTCTTGAGAGGAAAGAGGCAACAACGTTGAACAATGAAGAAGTCGACAGATCGGATGAAGATGACGAGGCCAATGGAAGATAACGAAAAATGAAAGATCTTTTAACAGATAGCAAGGTGAAGGAACTTCAAGCCATGCTTTTTCCAGTTCAGCCGATTCCTGGTAAATCGAAACGGTAGCAGTAAATCTACTATGAATAGGTAGCGTAAAAATATTTATTTGTTGTCCACATCCAGGCGGTGCGCTGGCAAACTTAAATAAACTTCAGGAGTTACAATTGCTACAGCTGGGACGATGCGATCTACCGCGAAGGGAAACGGAGTTAACGCTGTTCTCTATGCCTTTTGCAACTAGGGATGATCAGTCGCAAGAAACTCTTCGAAGCATATTGGACACTCACTGTACGATAGATGGAATCATCCAGGAGACTGCTAGATGGCCCACGGAATGCCAAGTATTTACTGTTGACATTCTGAGATACTCTACGTATAAAAAGAAAGGGGAACAACAATATTTTGAACAATATTTCAGGTACTTCCTGAAAGAGTCAGGCATATAGAATACGCTCCATCCGTTCCAGAACCGTTCTACGTGCCAACCGGAAAGGAACCAAGACCAAAACCATTAGGAGACGAGTTTGGGACTGTGATATTTCGATACCATCCAATCAGCGTCACCAGTTATGTGAGTCTATAGTATATTCGTATCGATATAGAGATTAGAATTTGAAGGAATTTATTCATTTATTCCATGATCAACAGTTTAGTAGATCTTGCGTAGGCGGTAGCACGGTCGCGCCGTTTCCAGCGGAATTCCCAACCGATTCAAACGAAAATGAATCGAAGAACGTCGAAGCTAATAGTAATGTGTTCTTAGTAACCAGAGTGTCCGACATGATGGACACCAACAGCGATTTACACTTTGAATCCCGTTTCGAGTCTGGGAACCTTTGCAAAGTCGTAAAGATCACTGATACGTATTATCAATTGTATCTTAGAAAGGATCTTTATACTCAAAGACATACCCAGTGGTATTATTTCAGGATATCAAACACAAGGAGCAGGACAAATTATAGGTGATCAATCTTTGGAATTTAACTATTTCCTTAAATAAATTGACTTGTGTAACTTTTACAGGAGTATTATTAGATTATTGTAATTTTTCTATTATTTTATTATTATTTATTATTACACTTTATGTAATTGTTCCTAATAGAACATAAGATCTGATTATAAGTAGAATTACACTAATCTATCTATCTCACTTTTAGAGATTATAATTAATCTATACTTTTTTGAACTTAAATGCAAATTATTGTATAAATCTAATTTTTGTAGAGGTAACTAATGGAATGAAAACCAGATAGAAATTTGCTCTATCCTCTGAATTTTATAATGAGGACTTTGGATACTTTGGATATTTTCATGAAATTCTCAAATTTTTAATAATCGCGTCCTTAAGTATATTTATTAGAAATATCTATTATGTAAAGAAATTGAAAATAATTTTAGACTGTCTATCGTGAACCTTTGCAAAGAAGAAAGTCTATACAACGAAGGTCTTCGACCACTTTTGTACTCGATCGAAGACGCCAAGACGCGAGCCGTTGGTTGGAGAAGATGCGGTGAAAATATCGCTTATTACAGGAACGATTCATCGTACGTTATCATATGTCTAATGTTCCTTTAAAATACTCTCGTAATTATTATATTTACCTTCCTTCTCAGAAGTGACGAGGAAAAAGAAAAGCACACATTAACGTTCAACGTCTCTTTCCCTCACGACAGAGACACTGTCTATTTGGCACATTGTTATCCATATACATATAGCGATTTACAGGTAATAACAATACAAACACCATCGTTATTTCTTTTCACTGATAATCTGTGAATAATAATTTCTTGAAGCTTAAGTTTAATTATTAGGAACATAGCGAATATCGATAATGATAAATAACGAATTTAGGAATATCTTGCCAAATTAGTCGCGGATCCTATAAAATCTAGATATACTAAATTACGACTGCTGTGTCGTACGTTGGCTGGGAACAGAGTTTATTACTTAACTATCACTGCGCCTACTTACGATGAAGAAGTACGAAGGAAAAAAGGCATTGTTATCACGGCACGAGTTCATCCAGGAGAAACTCCGTCTAGTTGGACGATGAAAGGGATTATTGATTTTTTAACCGGAGAATCGAATCAAGCCAGAGTACGTGTAGAATATTCAAAATGATCTTAATTTTAATTTAATTTCATTTCTTTTTTCTTTTCTTTTCACTTTTTAACGAGAGCTCGACAACACAGGTACTGCGAGAAAGATTCGTATTCAAACTAGTTCCTATGCTAAACCCGGACGGCGTTATTGTTGGCAACAATCGTTGCTCGCTTTCGGGGAAAGATCTGAATAGACAATACAGGACTGTAATGAGAGAAAGCTACCCCTCGGTCTGGCATACAAAGTTAATGATTCGACGATTACTGGAAGAATGCGGAGTGGCCATTTATTGTGATCTACACGCTCACTCTAGGAAACATAACATATTCGTTTATGGCTGCGAAAGCAAAAGAGCCGCGTCGCAGACGAAACTCTCCGAACAAGTGTTTCCTCTGATGCTACACAAGAACGCAGCTGACAAAGTAAACGATTCGATACAGATCACACATTGTTTTTTTCTTTTGTTCATTTATTTATTTTCTTTAATTAAATCGAAATAGGTATAAGACAGTAGTCAATTTTTAGTTCTCCTTTGAAAACTGCAAATTTCACGTGGAAAAGGGTAAAGAAGGTACGGGAAGGGTTGTAGTGTGGTCCATGGGAGTGCAAAATAGTTACACGATGGAAGCGTCGATGGGAGGGACGAAAATAGGATCCAGATCTGGAACCCATTTCTCTACACAAGATTACGAGCAAATTGGGAAAGTATTCTGTGAAACTCTGCTGGATTTCTTTGATCCAGACCCAATGAAGGTAAACCACGATACTCAGTCGATGTTATAATAACAGAAGATCTTCTTAACACTTCGTGCTTTGTATATTTTCATTTGATTAAATTATGATTAAATTACGCACTGGAAGGAAAAGCTTCGGAGCAAAATAATTACTAGGCTAATGAAGGGTGGTTCTAACGCCGAAGAACCGACGAACATCGATTTAACCGACTATTCTAGGTATCTTTCAATGTTAAAGGATTAATTGAAGCATAATCCAATTCTTTCAATCGATCGTGTGTATATATCCTCGCTAGTGACGAAGGGGATACATCAGACAGTTCAGTCTCAGAGAAGGAAGAAACAGAATTTCCAAGAAATACATGGAATTATACTTTGAAGGAGCCACCTGTTTCTCCGCAATATTTATGCGCGCCACCACCTACGCCAACATTTATTCCTCCTCGAAGTTTAGAGTTAGCGAGAAGAAGAAGCAAAAAGGGAACCGCCGCCAACAGAGGTTATCTTCGACGCAAAAGGATGCTGGTAAAATTCGAGATATCATTAATGTCTTTCTTTTCGCGAATAAAACACGTTTATTTGAAATGAATACTCACTAATTAGTCGGTTGATATCTAGACTAGAAGAGCAGTGATGGATTTGCCAACTCTGGACCCGGGCAGCGATTTGTACGACTATATTGATTCAGCGGATGAAGGACTAACGGGACCAGAACGTGAGAGCACACCATTGAGAATGTTGTTAAAAGCAAACTGAAAAAAGGCACAGGTAAAATTATGTTTAGGTTTCTCAGAAAGAATTCACGAAAATTGCAAGGAAGAAGCTATCCGATTTATGAACAAAGAAACAGAAGGAATCACTAGCGATGGACTGATTTTACCGGAAATAGTGAGATCTCGTAGTATGTCTTTAAATGAGAATTTCAGCGTCGATAAGGAAGAATCGAAGGCGAATAGACGATCCCATTGTCTTCGCTTGGTTAGGTAAAAAAACTGTTAAAATAAAGTGTTTCGATGAAAACAGATTTAAAGAAAAAGAAGTTCCTTTACAGAAGTTTAAGACATCGTTCACCCGTTCCATTGAAAAGTCAAGATATACAAATTAAGCTCAGTTCATTGCGACAACAAATATGGATGGGAGTTCCACTTGATGTCACGGAAAATATCGATAAAAGTATCGAGCATCCTATTGCAAAGGGACCATTAAGCTGGGGAATATCCAATATGGCATTAACCCAGGATAAAATAAATAATAAAATATTACTAAAGTATGTGAAAGTTCTCTTATATTACTGACGAATATTTCGAGTTATTTCTATTTCAGGGGCGCCAAGAAATTACAATTTCTCAAATATATCGATACGGAAAACAGCATGAAAGAAGCACAAAGTAAATATAAACGTAAAGATACTATACGTTCAAAGGAGAACAGTTTAGGAGCGGAACCTCAAGATACCAAGCGGAAGCCGAAGAAAAAAAAATCTCCTTTTAAATGGCAGAAGATAGTCGATCTAAATTCGAAAGTAGAAGAGGTGCGCCATCGTAAAACGTCCTTTTTAACGATCAAAGCTGATACCTTGAAATTGGTTACGCTTGAGGTACCTTCCAAAGTACAAACGCGGCAGCACAAAATTGAATCCCGGAAGCATCAGAAAAGTAGCGCCACTCGTACCATTTCTAACGGTGGGAAAACATCGATTATCACGAAATCTCAAATGCGCTTGCAACCACACTCACGCTCTCGCGTACATTTGCAACCCTTGATCGTCCCCTTATGCGACAGTTTTTCATCAGACAATGAGTCGACCGATTCTCACAAGCAGAGAATCTCGAAGAAAAAATACAAGAAGAAGCAACTGAAGAAAAAACCGGCTCCGGCGACGGGAAAGAAGAAGCGTGCTACTAGCGCGAGTGTGATTACGAAATCCCTGAAAGATTTCACATAAAAGTGGATGAATGGATGTCCAAGCTCTTTTTCGTATGTTTTTAAATGTATCTTGTAAGTACATATTTATCACATCTAATAAAACTGATACAGTGCAAATGCTTTTTTTACGCAGTGTTCATGACTAAAGTGAACTTCATTCACATAATGCACATTAGTACCAGGTATCGATGCGCTGAATACGAGTTACATTCGTATGGCGGAACTGAGAAATACTTGCACGAATAGATTGATACATAATGAAAGAGAGAAAGGAGGGGATAAAATTTTACCCGTGACTATGTAATGATTTATCGTTCAATTAAGGACATGACATTATTATGTAACAAACTTTACCGCGAGATAAAACAAGGTACAGAGAGATAATTAACCAACGTACTTACAATTTTTCGTTGATCGAAAAAGGAGAATTGTATTTAAATATGACAGGCGCGTCATTTGAATGACATTATACAGACCTGCACGTTTCCTCCATGCGTTTCTTTATCAGATATTAGCAAATCTTCGATTTAACGAAAACATAACCTCAACAAATTGTTGCAATACTTGTGTCGGTTGGAACAATTAATTGCCGTTAAATTCTATATGACTTATAGGAAGTATATCTTAACACGGGATTTTATTCAATGGAAAATTGTTTCAACATATAAGCTATTGATAGTCTTAATCCTAACTTTCTAATCTGTTGCACTTTCAACGATAATTTTAATGCAATTTATAACACAGGAAAAACATGATACTACTTACAAGACACTGCACGATATTTTTCTCGTCAATGCAATCTTAAAAAGAAAGCTTTAACCACGAATTTAAGTATTATCGTAAAAACAATTGGTATTTTTAACGAAGTGCTGCCACCTGGTGGAGCTACAACGAGCTACAACTACTATAGATAAGAATCGTACGTTCGAATGAACTTCTTATATAACATAAAGTACATATATAGGTTAAATAAAATGAATGAAATGAAAAATTAAGTATTTTAAAAATACTTCTGGAAATATCGAATATCAAACATCTCGACACAAAAGACCAAAACAAAGCGGAAAGTGTAAAAATATTACATATAACATATATATACTAATTATAATAATATAACATATATATAACATATATATACTATAAACTAATTTTTTTTTATATGTATCTAGTGTCAAAAAGGCATGTTTTACTTATAAAAGTTATTTTGTTAATAAACAAACAATGATGGTTAAAACTTTTTAACAAACAATGATGGTTAAAACTTTTCAAAGGATCACTCAGAGAAGAATGATCTATGTAGAGATGGTAGGATTATCGGAGGTCCCCTAAATACAAATGTATTTTTCTATCTTTATTACATTTTGCATAAATAACAGCAATAAAAATCTTTAATATTAAAAAAACTTACTTAAACTTATTTGGAACATCAATACATGATTAAACAATATCAATTTCATTGATTATCGTCCCATTTTTATCATTATCATATTCTCTTGGTGCTTTTTTTGTGATAATTATGTTTTTATGTGTAAAATCCTGTAAAAAAAAAAATATTATTATGTTATCATATAATACTTTTTAGTATACGTACTTATTTTATATTTATATTTTCTTCATTAAACGAATAAATTATAATAAATAACATATTTATTTAACATAAATTTATTAACAATAATTAATATAGTTAGTATATAACATTTAACATAATTAATTTCCAATGAAATGTAATTTTTAAATCGTATAATTTCGTTCTAGCAATATACATATGTATTGAGTCAGTTATTGTCGTGTGTATTTGAGTCAGAAAGTCGTCATTAAGCATTGACCCGGATATCCGGCGATTGTAAGATTGAACACAAGTTTTTCTCATTGAATTTTTCTGAAATCATGGATAATTTATATGATTTATAATTTCCTTTAAATCCAATTTTTAATGTGAAATCTTAAACATACGATGAGATAAAATTAGTAACTTCGGAACTTTTAATAAACTTTTGAGATAAACTATTTTCGACATGTAAGATAAGACATGTAAACTACTCCCGATAAGTATATATTTTATAATTTTATATTTCTCAAAATATAAAATTATAAAATTTTTTAAATATTCAGAGAAAATTACCATTTTTTATTTGACTGTAAATTGATAAATCAACAGCTGATATTAAAATTCATTCAGATTTTATAGAAGAAATTCTTCGAATAAAAGTTTTATTTTTATTAATAATATAATTTTAAAACATCGTAACAAAGTGCCAAGGGGGTGTGTTTGTTTTATATTTGATAATTCTTAAATAAAATTAATCGATACTTTATGACAAAGTGTGGCAATACTATATAACACAAATTATAAAAATGAATTCAATTTCTGCGCAATCAAAAGAAGAGAAAGGAAAAAGCATTGTTTGTAAATCATGAAACTGCTGACAAGTGATAGGGGAGTAGGTCAAGGCGGAAATGCTCTCTACGTCTTTGATGACTTGACGTATTCTTTTCTTTCGTTATTCAATTTGATTATGAGATCGAAAGAATGTTATCATCGGTATAAAAAAAAAAAAAAATGTAAAGGTAAGAAATTATTCCTACTACGAATTTCTTTTAATTATATTTGTTTCTATCGAAAATGAATATTATATCACGCACACAGTATCAGAGAAATTTCTCCCTCTACAACTTTCTTTTTACGCATCAAAGAATAATAATAATACCAATTATTATTTAAAATGATATCATAATTTTTTATAAAATCTGTTATTTGCTTTTCTTTGAAAAAAAAATTTTTCAAGTAGAATTTTGCAACTAAAATTAAATTATGTTCGGTTAATGGTGCAACAATTAATCTTTTGTAATGTAAAGGTTTGTATTGTTCAAAATGGCGATCAATTGATTTTGTTTTATTCAACATACGTACTTTTATAAATCTGATGTAAAAATGAAAAAATGTAAGAAATATATAATAATGAATTATGAACGAACAGTATGATTAATTGGATATAAGTGTTCTGTTTCATCTTATATATTCCTTTCATTTATTTTCGTTTGATTTTCACTTTCTCTATTTATCTTTTTTTCCCGGTGATTTAAAAAAAAAAAATACTTTAAAAGACAAGGATATTTGACATTTTTTTTTTCCTTAGAATTGCTATGTATTCTTATCAAAAGAAGTATATCGAATATTGCAGAAGTTATCAAAATTATTATTTATTTCAGAAGAGTTAGTCTTTTGGGAATGTTCAGCATGAAACAGCGAGAATTTTCAAGATAAATCTAAAATGTTTTAATTAAAAAATTGCATGATCAACGAATAGTTTCATAGCCAATTGAAACCATTAATAGTCAAAAGAACAAATGCAAGACGCGAATGGATGTAAATATTAATTCCAATAGATATATGGCACAGCTACTAATTGACGCGAATCTCTACCTAAGTAGGGGTGACGCGTAGAAAGGCCCGGTTATAAAAGAGATCGCACGAAGTTGGAAAACCAGTTCGGTGATGGTTCATCGACAGGAACTCATCGTATAAGTACAAGCATTAGGTGGGTGGCGATATTTTCTTTCCCTCATACATCATGAAGATACAAGTGTATTACCGATATTCAACATTTTTTTCATCTTTGAACTTGAAGATGCCTTAAAACTCGAGTGATCATGTTCGATATGTCAATGTGATTC